ATGAAAGAAAACAATGAACTTGCTTTTTACCATTTTCAGCGTACAATTCTCAATTCCATTGCAATGCTGAAAAAATATTATTACGACCACAATAATCAAATCACCATTGAAAATAAAAACAATATGCGTATAAGTGTATGGCAACATCTTTGGTTTTTTTGATTGGCCGCCCGCATGCCTAAAAGAAGTTTGTACTAATCCCACAACTCAGCGGGAAAATCTGTTTCTGTTTTCAAGCTAAACTCTACACTTATTTGAAACAAAATCTCTAAATAGCAATGCTGACAGAACACATATTGTTAAACAACAGATGTATTTGACTGCAAGAACTGCATGATTTTTTAGTTCGGCATTAGACCTGTTTAATAAGGACAATCATGCTGGCCTCTGTGTTCAGGAACTGAAATAAAAAAACCTTCTATCATTCAATATTCTCTAAAAAAAATTTTTTTCCCACCACCTACCTGTCCTTGGGCTCGGTCAAACTGTATGTCGAGCAATCTGATTGAGCACAATAGAAGTCAATCCTTACCAAAACACCCCCCCCCCTTCCCCCACCCCTAAATACTTGCAATAAAAGCTATCTTGCACATCACAATGACGATGGTATTGGTGCTCCAATGAAGCTTTCCCGCCAAGGAAAAAAAACCCATAATGCGGTGCCTCTTAATATAGTAGATAAAATGAAATTTCCATGACAACATGGAACACAGTTCTCCCTACATCATCACTTTCCGGTTTCAAGTTCACATCCAAGATGCTGACAGAGTTGAAACTTTGCATATTATGAAAACAGCTGAATGTACATGGTCTTGATAAAAATATTGCAACTTATTGGATTGCTGCTTTCACATCAAGCTACTGACGAAAGTATGAATATCAATATGCTATTATTATTCGTAATACTTGAGGGGTATACAAAAGTATTATGTCAGAGCTATGGAAGGACTAATAATATTGAGTAATCATTATCATTCTCCAGATTATTGACTTGGTAGATAATAAATAAAAATACAATCACTTATGATAGTGATATGGCCTACAAATAAACACAAAAACTGCACAAAAAAAAAAGAGCTGATAAATATGTATACTTCGCCCTTTCCATAACAAAATAAAATGCTGAGTAACTCATTTTGATTTAAATTCAATCTGTATTCACAGGAGAAAAAAACACAAGAACAAAAAAGCTAATACGAACAAAATTTTTTTAAAAGCACAATTAAGCACATGAACTTGAGGCAAAGTTTCAGCATAAATTATTGCACTCTGTGATGATTGTGAATATGCCCAGAGCCAAAAAGGTTCTACCTGCAGACATATACATTAGTACGTGTTGTAAATAGAACTCATTCACTTTGGGCCAAAACTGGACAGATCATACTGGGGAGTCAACAAAAGAAAAAAAAGTAGTTGACCTATAAGTCTTGACATTTCCTACAACGTCCATTTCAAAGTTGTCTATCAACAGTATTCCCTCTGTCTTCAATCATGGACTATTTATTTCGTAAAGTATTCTTAATTTTTTTCTTTCTTTTCCATCTCTCACTATTTCTTGTTCGTCAGCACTTGGCCTTTTCAGAGACAGACACATTCATTAACATATCCAATAGAAATCACCTAAAAATAGAAGAAATCTATTCTTTTATGTTCATGTTGCTTTATATCAATTAGGGTGAACCAAACTTTTTTTCTGTTCCACTATTTTGCAGTTATATCAATATATTAACATATGTGCATTAAACACTCACAAAAGGCATTATTGGACATCTATTGCGAAACTGGAAAATAAATATATATTATATATGCAAAAAAAATGTGGTACATGCTGGGGTATTTTTCAGATCTTCTTCTCTTTTATTATCATGATCTATAAATTATAAATTCAAATCCATGGTTTTGGTAAGAAAGAAACACTCCAATGAAATGACAGTCAAAATAGTACACAGTACTCATTCAAAAGCTCAGCTCTTGTTTTTGTATGTATATATGTATACAGATAAATGCACAACATGAACTTCTATCACAAAACAAGGTGAAAATTCTTGGAAACGAAAATTGCAACACCTGTAGTTGTGAAACATAAATTGATATTTACAATGTATGATTATTCATCTAAATATGTATATTAGCTTTGAAGCAAAAGATAGATAGTAGGCCTAAGAAGAAAAAAAAATCACACTTTCTTCAGACTTACTTGAAAAGACATAACAATGAACAAATACACAGAACACGAAAAAAACACCACTCCAATCTACATCATAATTTTAAGTCCCCTTCTGCCCATTAACAGTTATTCATCGTAACTGACTTGTATTTGTAAATTTTGTGGTGAATATTTTATGCTCCTATTTATACAATCTAGATCATCTAACAGTTGGCCGCACCAACTCTGCCTATAAAAGCCAACCTATTAATGTGTTGAATACAGAAATGGAGAATGACAGATACCCCCAAAAAACAACAACAAACGAACAAAAAAAAAAAAAACTAAAAAACCGCACCATTCCTTCTTCCAGAAACGAAAAGCATATCAACACAAATGTAGCCATTTAGTGCATTATTGGCAAAAGCCAGACTGAAGGACAGAGAGAAAAAAAAGAGGGAAAGAAAAGAATTTGGGCCCACTAGTGGCATTCTCTGACCACATGCAGGAGAAGGGTAATGCCGAGGGACTACACATCATGCACACTGAACTCCACAGTGCCACAGATGGCAGACAGCAAAAAATCTATTCACCTCAATGCAAAGACGTCTCAAGATCTAAATATGAATTTAAAAAAAAATTATAACACACTGAAAAATTGAGCAGGATCTGGGCTGACAATTACATTTACTGAAAAGATGAAAGTCCAAACAATGGTAAAGTTTTATGAGACTGAAGCAATGATAAAAGTATAATAAACGCCATAATGGGGTCAGAACCATAATGCAGAGAACTGTGCGATGATATACAACAAACTCTCTATGCATAGTAACAGACGATTGCTCAAACTAAATTGGCCTATTTATTCAAAGCACAACTGATGCTCAATCTTTAAAAAAGCCCACACTATTTGAAAAGTTTCTGAAAGTGAATGCTGTAAAGACAACAATTTATGAAAATCTCTCCCAAACCATCAAAATCTTTTTAAAAAAATTTTTTCATTCCAAACAGCATTTACTATAAATAAATTTTCTTTGAATATGTTCAGTTTCAGTAGGCCTCAAGAGAGGCATATCACCTTGACAATGGCCATGTAGAGCTTGGGAAAAGAAAAAAAGACAGAAAACAGAAAAGGGAAAGAAAAGAAGTAAAATCTACCAGTGGAAACTTCCACCATCATGACAGAAAGGTTGATTCATTTTTGCAAAAAGTGGTCGCTAATTACATGGTCGAATTGTTTTGTCAACATCCAAAGAAGAAATACAGGGTAAGTTTCGGGTTGATTCCCTAATTTTAGCTCATCGACATGCATACTTAACCTCTGCTTCACAGAAGTTTATGATGAAATTAACAAATACATTTCAAGAAAAAATACTGGTCTAAGTACATGTGTAAGTGACTGGGGTGAGGAACGCACAAACAAACACACACACTAACACAAACACAAATCATAATATGTGTGTCCCCCCGAGAAGAGAGCCCACATCAATTATGTAGGTAAAGTTAAAGTCAATTTCGAGCTAGAGACCTGCAAAGAAGTAAAAACGACCAGAAGTCTGAGATGTCGTTGCACCAGAATATCAGTTAAACTACTCCAAAATCATATTCCAAAAGGATTAGGCTCAATCTTATTTCAAAGTAGTCCAAGACACAATCTTATTTAAGGGGTGTTAAGTGAGAAAATCTGAAATTAAATCTGGCTCAAATAGACCTGTCTTTTTTAGTTGTATTTAGACACATGCTGACAGCTTTTTAAATTAAAAAAAAAAAATATATATAATCAAGTTATGGAAGAAAATTTAAAATATTTTCTCCACTACAGAGTGAACTTCAGAGGGCATGAATGTAGGTGACTGAACTTCAATGGCACTATTTGCCCAGCAGAAAATCCCGTCAGTCAAATTTGACAAATTTGACCTAATGTTTCACACATTCTTATTGGTTTTTGCACGTTTTCTGATTTTTACAGAACTATCATGTGCTACTATAC